CAAATATTGATAGATGTCTTGTAATGCACTATTGAGGAACCTGCGACCCAAGTTTTTCATTCATTGCATAACTACACCGTTTGTGTATGATATGTCAATAAACCTTAGAAAATCTTGAAATCTTGAAAGGGATGTGCAAAATAGTAATTATATACAATCTTTAATTAACTATTAGTAGAGAATAACGAGTAATGAATATACTTTATAGGGATCCTATTAATATCTAATAATAAAAATAATGAAATTCAATAACATGCTTTAACCACTCGGTGTCATTTTATATCAGCTGTGAACCTTTATGATGTAAATACAGCCTATCTACCAATTGGATCAAATATAAAAGTCAGCCGAATTAGTGTTGATACTGCAAGGAGACGTATTGTGTGAAAAGAAATGTAAGATGTTGTTTAATTGCTGATATATTTATGATCCACGTCACGTTTTCAGTGTTGGCGGCAGTTCCTCATGTTTGTCTAGAAGTCTTCTCATCAGGGCTCTATAAATAGAGAACTACAGCAGATATGTAATATTTAATGCAGCCGAACCGTGTATTACAATGCCGTTATGTGATGACTTTCAAAGAGAAAAGCAAGCACACTCGGAATAAAGTATTATTTGTTTCGGGTATTTGTTAATGACGATGTGATGTGAGACTGGAATTGCACAGGGGAAAATAACGTATCTATGCCACAATTTTAGATGCGGATTTTCGGCAACTCCAATGTGCCGTATGTAGTGTATTTCCCTTGAAATATGTCTTTTTTCTTACTTACTTACTAAATCAATGTTAAGACTGATGACATAAATGCTTTAGAACATTTAGTAATTAAGGTTGGTTTCATTTTAAGGTATTTGGTTAGTGTGAGGTGTCGTTCAGTTGTAATGTTTCTGTATATGAACTCTCCAGTTCTCGATGAGCTAATCATATTTATAGTAAATACTTTATGTTTAGTGTCTGGGCCTCTATTCTCAAGGTTCGTATATCTTATCGGGATGTCCCATTTCACATGATCGAAATTTGTCTTGCGAATGAGTTTACTGTATGTTTTAAACAGGTGATAAATTAATTATTTAATTAAAAAATGAATGAATTAAGTGCTGTGTCTGAGGTTGGCTATTGGCTTCTTCTCTACACTGAGGTCATATGGCGGTTTTTGCTGACAACAGCATTGCACTGTTGCTGTTGTTTGCATTGTCTTCGCTGTTAGCTTTGTTAACTGCTAGCTGTGTTTGATCATAACATGATTTACACAGACAGGCTTGGTTCAGAGTGTTGTAAAAACATGGATGTTAGTTGCAAGTTTTATCCCACGAAAATCTATTCAAAAATGTGTTAAAAGCAAAACAAACAAAAAACGTTATATTTCTTATGATTTCATATTTCATTTTTAAAAATGTGGTTCGTTTTTTTTATTAATATGTAACAGACATCATGCCTAATTGGTCAAGGATTTTTAAAGGATTAATGCTAAAATGTAGAAATTGTACTACTTCTACAAATCAAAAATGTTATATAATTACATTTATAGGTTTTGTTTGTAGGGTTTGTTTTTTACTCTGTTTTTTAAAATTGCTAAGCATTCAAATATAATATTATCCTGTCATCTTCAAACTCAAACCTTCTTGAGTCACTATATATATGTAAATTCAATGCTGTTTTTCTATTGCAACACATTCATCGTCACTGTCCATGTTTATTCTCAAGTTACCTGAAAATAGGTTGTGGTCGGAAAGACTTGTTCATGGCTTGACGCAACTTGTCCGTGTTTTCCCACAAACATGCGTCAGCAGCAACAGTAGCCTGAGGGTTAGCAAAGACAGATAGTGATTAAGTACATTTCATTCATGACAGGATGCTGTAAAATCTGAATAAAATATAAGAATACCGCTTAGATAATAAGAATAAGAGACAATAGGTTATGTATGAGAATGAAGCAAAACACTGATATAGAAATGAACTATCATCCTCCCTGACAATCTACACAATGTTTGTCATGTATCTATGCCATCAGTTTGATACCGCTTGTCTTGTTTTTCTGTTTTGGGGAATTATTTTCTTTGACTCAACAATCAAAGCTAATCTTCTCCTGTCATCTTCAAATGGAATCACTGACTCAAGAAGGTAGTTACTCAACACGCCCACCCCCCATCGCCTCCACTGCTCAGCCTACATATATATATAACAGTTGAGGCCAGCACAAAACACAAGTCACACTCAACGAAGAAGCATGAGTCTCTCTTACAGTCTGAGCATCATTCTAAGCCTGGCACTCGCAGTTTACTGTGGGCCTGTGTCACAAGTCAATGTGAAAGATGAAGATTTTGCAGAGGTATGTAGTCGGGCATTTGTGTTTTCATTTGATGTGTTCAATTTGTGCATTTTGGAAAGTTTCTACAAACTCTGTTGACCAATACCTTTGCTATCTTTTACAGAGCTACCTGAAAAAATTCTTCAACCTAACAGAGGAGACCGGTCCTACTATCCGGCGGGGGTTCAGCCCAGTGAGCAGGAAGCTGATTGAGATGCAGAGATTCTTTGGTCTCCAGATCACCGGGACGCTGGATGCTGACACCGTGGCAATCATGAAGAAGCCTCGCTGTGGTGTTCCAGACGAAAATCTTGCCCGTTTCTCCACGTTTGGACAGCACAAGTGGCAGAAAAACAGCATTACCTACAGGTGACTGATCTAAAGAGAGAATGTGTGTGAAAGAGTTTCTTTAGTAGGTCTAATTTACAATATTCCTGACTTTTGTTCTGTTCTACAGGATAGAGAACTACACTCCGGACATGTCTGTGTCAGAGGTAGATGATTCTATAGAGAGAGCTCTGCAGGTTTGGGCCAAAGTCACTCCTCTGAGTTTCACTAGAATCAACAGCGGCACCGCTGACATCATGATCTCCTTTGGCCGCCAATGTGAGTACAGAGAACTTTCAGTAGTGGAAAAGGTTCACTTCACTAAAGTTAAACGGAGGAATACCGTCAGCTAAAAATATTAAAGAAAACAACCTTTGTAAAAAGTAAAAACCTTGCATTCTCAGGGTGACTGAAGTAAATTCAAGCAATAACGATCAAATGTATACCTTAAGTAACAACAGTACTCATTGTGCATTATTGCATGTTTTATATTCATATTATATTATCATATTGTATTGAAATAGCGCTGCATCAGATTTGAGAGACTTTTAAAATACACTCTTAATCTGAATGAACTAAATGTGTTTATTAAGTAAAGTATACAATGAAGTGACTAAAGTAAAGAAAAAAAATCTAAAGTACGGTACTTGAGTTATTGTAGACCTACTGTATTTAATTTCAACAATAGGGTTAGGGTTAGGGTTTGGCACAGTATGTTTTTTTTACCAATATTTGTTTGCAATTTCTTGACACCTCTACTATAGCATACTGTATAGTTCTTTTAGTTACTGTCAATGGTTGCAGTAGAGTTACATCATGTTCATCAACAAAACAAAGAAACAACATCATTCCACTGGCATGTCAGGGCTTGCAGACATCTCAGACCCTCTTCACTATTTTGTAAGAGCTTAGGGTGTTGAAAAGGCTGCGTTTATCTTGGCTCAGGTTTGAGGTTGTGACATCTCACCAACTTACACACATTTGAGTTTGAGGTACAATAGATTCCAATGGTTTCCCAGTTTTGATTTGTTTCTTTACAAAAACAATTGTTATACAGGACAATATAAAGTACATTTTAATGCACGAGTACTTGGGTTCTGACCTGAGTATGTTCTTGTTAACAGCACATGGTGATTATTACCCCTTTGATGGCCCTGGTGGTACTCTTGCCCATGCATTCGCCCCATCCACTGGCATTGGTGGAGATGCTCATTTTGACGAGGATGAGGACTTCACTTACCGGTCAAACAGAGGTCAGTTTGTTATTTACGTACACCATGATGGATCATGCTAACTACTGTCAGTTTTGACATGACACTATCTGTAAGGCTAACCTGTAAGTGTGTTTTCTGCTGTAGGCTACGTCCTCTTCATGGTGGCTGCCCATGAGTTTGGCCACTCCCTGGGCTTGTCTCACTCTGATGATGCTGGTGCTCTCATGTACCCTGTGTACACATACAGAAATCCTGACACCTTCATCCTGCCCCGGGACGATGTCAACGGCATCCAGTCTCTCTATGGTTGGTACAAACTGTCACTCTTACACAATCATTGTGAATTGCTTCTCAACTATTTGGGCTTCATTGCAATGTGATGCAGGGATTTCTGAATACTTGGTGACTCATTCTGTTTGTCTTCTAGGTCCAAACACTGGTAAAGATCCCTCTGGAAAGGAACCACAGCCCCCCACCACTCCTGATGCCTGTGATTCAACCATGGTCTTGGATGCTGTCACCACCCTGCGAGGAGAGATGTTCTTCTTCAAGGACAGGTCAGACATCCTGGAGAATGCTTAAATATATTAAACCTGAAGCCCATTGACATCGTTTTCTCTTCACCCAAGAGCTGAATTATGAACTCATTCATGTTCTTGTGTGTTCTCAGCTTCTTCTGGCGGATCTACCCTCAGAGCAGCACACCTCAGCAGAGTCTCATCACAAACTTCTGGCCCGATGCCCCCTCCAACATCGACGCTGCTTATGAAAGCCGAAACTCAGACAAAGTCTATCTCTTTAAAGGTTTGTATTCTCATAACGTGTCCACGGCTCCAATATAAAAGCATTTCAAAATGAACCAACTCTGTTATCTTTTTCTGCCTTTAGGCCGTAAAGTGTGGGCCTTCAGAGGTTATGATCTTGTACGTGGATATCCTAAAAGGCTCTCCAGGTTTGGTTTCCCAAGAGGTGTGAGGAAAATCGATGCTGCCCTTTTTGATGCAGAATCCGGCAAGACTCTGTTCTTTGTAGGCAGCAAATACTTCAGGTGTGTACAAATGATTTCTGTTGAGATATTTTCTAACCTTTAACCTTGGTGAATCTATCTAATGACTGTTGTTTTTTTTTCAGTTACGATGAGGGCAGAAAGACCATGGAACGGGAATCTCCCAAGATAGTCGATCAGACCTTCTCTGGCCTGAATGGCAGGGTGACTGCAGCCGTCCAGTACCGAGGTGAGTGGCATTCTAAGTTTCCCATGTCAAGATTACTGAAATAAGATGTTCAAAGTTTTTCCTCTCACATTCTTCCTAGACTTTCACACACAAATTATGTTTTGCGGAAGTGTATTTATTAGTTTTCTTGATTTCACTTTTGTCTGTTAAACAGGAGGCAGTTTGTTCAATCTGACGCTCTGCACTAAAATGAGTGTTGTGGTTGGTCTAAGAAAAAGAGCATGCTATTTTCTATATGAATCTACACATTTACGTTTGAATTTATAAAAGGAAAGTGTTACTACTGTATTTAGAATACAAAATGTGGTGCTTCTTTCTCATCAGTAAGGCTGATAATGTAACAGATTATTATGAAGCAACATGATAGCCAGTTAGCTAGCTAAACGTTTTATGAAATACCCTCGTGGTACATTCCAACACTGCACCAAGTTTACAAACGGTCCAATTTCTGCCTAAGTGCATTTCGGCTAGGAGAAAGACTGTTTACGAACACACCCTTGCCGTGTTCTTTAATTCCAGGAAAGACAAACAACTTCTAAGTTTAACTATTTATTAAAAGAGAGCAAAATATATATTTCACTTGGCCAAGGACTCCGTCCGTTCACAGAAATCCCAGGCAGCAGAGCTGTAATCTGTAACCACTATTTCCGGAAAAATCCCTGAACCTCATGAGTGAATACATTTTTATTATTCAGGGGTCTGCCCGTACATTTATGATTGGTTGAGACTAGATGGGGGAGAAACGTGGTTTAGACTTTGGCATCCCTGGTTGGTGCACAGACTTAGACAGTCTCTTGGCAACATGACCTCCAATCAGCATTCGGCCGGCCTGTGAAGGTCCCTCCCTACTCTAGTCACGCTATCCTACATAATTTGTTTTGCTGAAGCTGCTTTGCAATAGATAGTGGAATCCTCGATTTAAACACTGATTCCCAGTTATGCGTAGGCGTTGAACACACACACACGGCCAAGGCCAGAGCCTCAATAACTCTTTGTCTTCTATAGTGTCTGCACCCGGCTTTTGCAACATTTCTAATGCAAGCTAAAACTTTCATATTACTATTCCCTTCGTTTCGTATCTAACCCATCAGAACCTGGGATTAGTGCTTGTGTCTATTTATTTTATAGTCATAGCAATCTCATGAGCACAATAAGCATATAATGTAATAATAAGAATCACTCTTGTAATGTTATATAATACAAATAGACTCCACCCCCTTAGTTACTGTGTGATCGAGCTGGGCTAGCTAATTTAACTTCTGACCTGCTAAACTAAGCTAACCCTATTGAGGCTGCAGCTTCACATTCATGAGAGTGGAATCAATCTTAACCTGTAACTCTGGGTAATAACGGGATTAGGCCTTTTCTTAAGAAGTTGAACTATTCCTTGAACACAGGAACAAAAATTGAGGGCCACCCAGTAGCATGTAGCAGATCAGAGTTTGAATCTGACCTGTTCGTCATCTCCTCTCTGCTTTCCTGTCTTTCTGTATAACAAAAATAAGAAGAAACTAACCTTGATTTTCTGTTCTGCAGGTTTTACTTACATCTGCACTGGACCCTACATATTTGAGTACAGGTCCAGGACGTTGAACCGTGTGCTGAGGAACAGCTTCTTCCTGCCCTGCAGTAACTTCTAGTCCTCTTCATCAAGTTCTATAGCCGCTGAATGAGAATGAATGTACACTAACAGTGTTAGAAAGCACATTGAATTTGTTCTATAGTAAGAAATATATTTTCGAAACTGAATTTGACCAAATCTATATCTGTAAACATGAAGTATTTAAATATATATATATTTGTATACTGTATAGCTGGTTTACATGTCTGTTATACTTGGCAGTATTTATGTGGTGTATGAAACTCTTCCGCCAGGAAAACAGATATTCAGTTTTATCTGAGGGGCTTCTGTTTCTTCAAGACTTCTACTGTTCTTTATTTATATAATCTAATGATATTGTGGTAGTATTGTAATTAATGTAATTGGACAGGGATATGAGTAACCAAGGTCTTGTAAAATTGCTGCTAACGAACACAACTAATAAAACATCTACAAAAATAACATGAAATGCTTTCATTCCTTAACCGAACCTGTTTGATATCAGATGAAAACGGTTTTGGGGTAAATTTCTATGTCAAAGCAAGAAAAAGGCAAAGAGGAAGAGATTTCACAGAATGTCACGAAACAACACAAAATATTTCTTAAAATTCTGCATCATATGGTAAGCTAATTACTTTATTATTTATTTGGATGAGCATCCATGAAAAATGCAGTGGGGAGAAGATTGTGTTCCTAAAAAGTCAAACAGTCACTAAAAATATTAACAAAGCGAAAATACAAATACTTTACATACAAGTCACTGTTAATAACAAGGGTTACCTGTGCACCCCAAGTCTATACTACTCTTATTTAAATCCTAACAAAATCACAGTGATAAATGTTTTACTCTTCCCTCCCTGATCCGCCAGCTTAAATACCAACAAAAAAGATAACAATTTTGAAATTCAACATAATAACCTGGGCTTTAGAGAGCTCGTCTTAGCTGGGTGAAGTGGTATGTCTCCCAATATGTATTTTCTTGTGCTTATAATAAGGACAACAGAGATAATAAGTAGATTTTAGAACATCAGGCCCTCTGTGTTTTCCTCAGTTTTATTAAATGAAATTAATTACAATTTTGGTGGGATAATAATCCGTGTATCTACCGTCCAATTGTTTTTCTTTATTAGACACGTAAACGGAAGACCCTCTGAGAGGCGTTTTTGCTTTTTACCTTACTAAATGGTCAAATGGTCATTGGAGCGAGGGGCGGGGCGAAACTCACGGAAGTGATTTCAAAACAAAAGCACTCGTTTGCTAAAATCACACTTTGAATCACAACAGTATCCTGCTGAAGGAACGGTGATTATTATAAACAAGGGGAATTTAGCGATCACAACGAAAACGGCCAAGACACATATTGAGCCCAGAAAATGAATGTTATTGAGGGCTGTAAATATAATAAGCCTCTGTCTAAAATGGACAACATTGTTAGGAGATGTAAACTATACAGCGGTTCTGCACTGCGGTCACTCAGCCGTCTCTCCACTTTGTTTTTTCAAATCAGCTGCTCTTCATTATTCCTGCTATATTTGACGAGTGATACAAATATTTGTTACCACAAGTTCTTAAGAAAACTAACTCTGTTGGACTCGGTTCTAGTTTGACTTCTACCAGAAATAAAATGAAGTACTTTTACTGTGTACTTTGTGAGTAGTCCTCTGTCAAAGTCCCCTCCTTAGTACATAATGCATGTTTTTCTGCTATCTTTGATGAATGATAAAAATATAATTTTACCATTAGTTCTTAATGAAATTGATACTGTTTGACTTTGTATTAGTTAGCCTACTACTTACAATACATTGAAGTACTTTTACTGTGTATTTATGAGAAATCCTCTGCCAAAGTCCCCTGCTGAGAACAAAATCAAGCCACTTCTGCTAAGTTTGATGAGGGAATTATTTTTTGTTGCCATTAGTTCTTCGTGAGATTGATCCTGTTGGACTCAGTACCACTGAAAATACCCCACAAGTACTATGAAGTACTTACTGTGTACTTTTCCAGT